ATATATTTTTTATGTGTAAGAAATGCTAGGATATTGCCTAGATTATTTGACATCGTGTACTAGGTCTACCTTGGTTCATCAGTTACAGATCCAATGGCAATTGAATCTAGTAGTAAGTACAACAATTACCACTGAATCTAATTTGCAGAATTCTGTTGCATATTAACCTGGTTTATTGCTCTTATGAAGAACCTTTACTTACTGTCATAAATAAGTTTTTCACTTTTTTAAGTTAACAGGGCCTATCTCAGCTTGTTTTTTCCGTAGATTGACTATTGCATTGTTTGTTCTGTGCAGACGCCCCCAGGTTTGAACGGTAGCAATCATCTGAAAAATTACAATTCAGATATGATTGTTTTCTTTCTCATGATTGGACTTTCTGTTTATAGAGGTGATAGAATGCCCATAGGCATGAATTTGTTTCAATCTGGCCAGGTCAGGTGATAAATTCCATCCAGTTGTTTCGTAGTCTATAGCTTGAAATTAATAGTTAAAAAAAAAAGCAGACAGTAATAAACTTTGCACTGTTTTGCCTCATTCTTCATGTTTGACTGGCAGGGGACTTACTAAAGATGATTTCTTTCATTTATACCATCCAGCAGCTTAACATCTTGAGCCATTTTGGTTTGTCTGGTCAGATTTCCCGGGCGAGATTGTGTTGAAATGGAGCTGATGGGAAAATCCAGGCTTAGTGCAGGACTTTTTGATCAGAACTAGCCATTTTAATTACCTAAACCTCCTCCGTAGTCTTGGGTGGAGTTTTGCTTTAGTGAACCTTTAGACTTTGTGATGATGCAGTATTTTTGATTGAAGATGAAAGCTTAATTGCACTTCAAAATAAATATATACAACTGTAATATCACACAATTTTGTAATATAATAGGCTCAAATAACAAAGCTAATACACCAGGATAAGGATATACATTTACAAACAAAAGTAGCCTTTCTTTTCAGTTAAGTCCAATGAGATTTGAAAATTACAGTCACATGGTTAAATAAAGATACCTTTTCTTGTGATAAAGCTTTGTGAATCAGCCTAATATCTGTTTTGTTAAATAAACTACTTCTGTACGGGTGCTGTAAGGTTCATTTCTGTGGAGCTGTACAAATTCTGAGTTGGCGCTGCTGAACATTCAGGTTGGGTAAACAATGGAGTGCCCGCTTTATAACTACCAGCTATGGTGCAGAGTAAAGTGGGTTTTGCTGTAGGTAAAGTGGGTTTTGGACAGTGCCTACTACAGTGACAATGAGGAATTGGCATGACAACGCCAGCCCCCATGTTTCGCTTATAACAAGTTTCCTTTAACTGGACTTTTGGCAGCCAGCCTATATCCTGGGACAGGATATGGACAGACTCTTGGGCAGCACCAAGGGATGTAGCGAATCCCCACAGCACCACTTCAGAACAAGGTTTCTGAGCAAAACGTATAAATACCATTATATTACAAAATTGTTCCATGTCTTTACTGGATTAATGTTGTAGTTGGTGTAAAGTGACCTCTTTTAACTTGAGCATACAGCAGTGTTGTTGGCAGGTAGATTTAGATTGGCCATAGATGGGCAGATCTTGTAGGTAAGAGATTCTAGCTAATTTTCAAGCATCACGTTACACAAAAGACCGATGTTGCTCTTCTACATGGTCCAGTTGTGTCCAGTAATGCTCAGAACATTCAAGCTATGTATAGTCTGTTTAGACAGTCTTATGTATAACATTATCTTTGTTCACTTAGATCAAGGCTCTGGATTTTGTGTGACTGGTAAAATAGAAGCTGGCTACATACAAACAGGTGACCGAATACTAGCCATGCCACCTAACGAAACATGCACAGTAAAAGGTGAGTAGATTGATACATTTGTGCAAACTTGCTATCGAAGAACGCTTTCTTATTTTTATTACTGCATCTGTTTTGGCCCAGCAATAACTTCTGAAAGTTCTGTCTGCACCTGAAACTAGTTTTCTGTCATACTGATACTGACTGTTAAATAATGAATCCTGAATCTTGAAACGAATTTCCTCACAGGTGACTGTGTGCGTCTAAAGAGATGTACTTCAACACGTGTGAGACATTTCACTTGTAACTGGTCGAGAGTTTGGGAGGCTTCTCACACTCACTTTGTATTTTTTTCTCACGCCACCATTGTTCTATTACTCATGTTTGTTTATTTAGCGGTGCATCAATAATACCCTTTTGCATCACCGTGTCTTCTCACAGAGTTCAGACAAGCACCAGGTTTTGTTTTGGAATCAAATCCTAAAAATAAGACCAGTACGTATGTGAAAGTCTGATGTTTCTAGTAGCGTCATTAAATCCAAATTTTCACGTAATGTCGATTTCTTTTCAGACATAATAGAAATTACTCATATGTAGAGAGAAAATAGATTTTTAGGGGCCATTTTTGGAATTCCTAGACGATCTTATTAAAAATAAATATAGCTAATAGACTGTTTTTTTCTCAACCTTGTTTTTATCTTGAAAAGCACTTGGCCACCGTTTTAAAGCATCTAAACTCAAAAACAGAAATGTAATATGTTGTAACTTACCAATTCTTAAATGCGGTGGCTGCAATAGTTTTTGTTTTAGGCTTTTATTCCTTTATTTTCACCTTGTGATTCATCCAGTAACACACTTCCTGTCTTAGAATGCTGTGATATTTTTATCTGGTCGTCAAGTACATCTAAGACTAAAGCTGGCCATACACGCTACAAATTTCATGTAATGAACGGGCCGAAATTAGCACAGTGGGCGCTGCTGTCGGCACCCTTTCGGAAAATCTTTGAACAGAGCCGACAGTCAATGAGCTGCCGACTCTGTTCTGGTATTCTGACAGCACCCGACGACCTTTGTCAGAAAACAATGCAAATAGGTGCAGATTCCTCGATCAACGCTCTTAAGCGTTGATGGAGGAGTCTGTAATATTTTCTTCGTTCAACCCACGGGTTACAGTGTATGGCCAGCTAGAAGCTTACACTACATATGCTCTTTTCATTAGCACAGTGACACCAATAAAAGCACTTTCCACTAATTGCAAAGAGTAGCAATCAATCCCTCCCTGGTATAGCAGATGATCCACTTCTAGTGTAAGCTGCATCATATTACAACACTTTAGCTGGCCATACTCTTTCGGATTTTTCTGGTCTTGCCCAGGTTCTAAACGAGAGAAATTCAATAGATTCCTCCACCAAAACTAAACAACTTGGATGAAGGAATTTCCACTGCCGGCGATTGTATTCAGACAGCCATAACACCCACGGCTGCCTAAATTATGTATACGGCTGCCCACAGTGCACCTCATAGGATGCAGTCACTGTTCAGCCATGGATTTTCAACCAATCTCAACAAATGGATGGCAAATTGTTACATCAACTTTTGTTGAGTCAGATGATGCCAACTGGGCCACCCATGGCTCAAATTTAGGCTGATTCAGCAGGAATTGGCTGAAATTAGAGCCATGTATGGCTAGCTTTAATTGTGACTGATCACACATTGCACATTGCTGTTACATGCTGCACCATAGGGTACATCTTATTAGCATAGGGAACCATTGGTTTAGGCAGTTCTATCCTGAGAGAGATAACTATTAGTGCATTTGTAATACATTTAATTCTGTCCTTTGAACATGCACACAGCACCCTCTGCAGAGAGCAGACCAAATTGCAGACAGTTCTTAAAATGTACGATGTGAAATCCCTGAAGTATTGTGAGCTGACAATGTGCTTATAGGTAAATGCACATCTTCCACATGATTGCAACACAACTCTCATACTAAAGCTCTTGTAAATATGTTGGATGGAGAGTTTGAAAGTCATACCTAATTTGAAATTTTTTAATTCGTTTTCACAATTTATGGTTTCATGTAGCTGAGTTTTCTAATTGCATTTTGCATTCCCAGCAACCAGTCGCCTTTTTTGGCAGACTTTGCAGTGTACCAAATGAGTCAGCAAATTTGCATTAAAAACCTGACTCAGGCAATGATACAATGAAGCATTTTTAAATACCTTTTCAGTAATCCCATGCTTTTGTCAACTCATGGTCACTGAAAACTGCTGTGTAAAACTTTCTTCAAACTTTCCTGCTGAAGTAAGGTCAGGACCAGATGAATTCTGATTGGTTGCTATGGGTTACTGTTATTAAATTAAGCTGACCATAGACAGTTTGGTGGTTGAACATGCAAGGACAATTCAAGTGCCCTCAAGCATTTACAAGCAGGTTGCTGAACAAGGAAGGTCACTCGATTCTGGCCGTGTTTAGTGCCCTGGCCAAATATACCGATGCCTGCGGGTGGGTGGTTGGATATTGCCTACATGTTTAAATGTCTTTGTCTATGGATAGAAGCAGGGAAGGGGTGTGCAGACAACTCTGCCACTAACTTAACAGGAGGCAAACAATAGTGATTGAACAAGGATTTCTAACTCGTACAATTCCAGCCTCAGCTGGCAGCTTCCATGTTGGCACTGGCACCTTGCTGCTTTAACAGGTGAATGTTAAAGTTTAAATGACTTTCCTTTCGTGTGTGTGCGCGCACATGTGTTTTCAGGAAAGGCACAGTTAAAATAACATGACTACGGGTAAAGGTGTCTTATAGCTGTGCCCCTGACCTTCATTTCATTGGTGTGTTATCTACAATCAAAAATAACAAGGAGCTTATAGTTTAATGCAACAAAATAATCCACTTAGTGCAATATACAGTATGTTAGCTTGATTTCATGCTTCAAGACATGCTACCCTCCATACCTTTGCAGTTGCATGTCCATGTAAGATCAGGTGATGTTAGTATCTCTGTTATCTGGCACATTTAATATACTTTCACTTTTTGTAATTATTGTCTGACTAGTGCAAGATATGTATATGTGTGTGTATCTGCTTACCTAGAAATTGTCCATAATGTATTTATACGTTAGTATATTTGCTAAAAAAGCCAAAGTATACTGTTCATTCATTAATAGTGTTTGAAATGAAACTGCTGGCAACTTGCATCAGGCAATGACTCAAATTAATGTGCAGCTATGACTGTGTGTTGGCATGACAGGTCAAATATTTTCACACGAGTGAATGCAGAGCCTTTTCTTTTGCTTTGAATGGTCTTTAATTCCTGTCTTTTATACATTTAAATTCTACCCTTTTGTTTTAGCAATTTGTACTCCAAAAAAATAATAATTCAGAACTTCATGTTTTTTGATTCGGCACATAACTGAAATAAGATGACTCACGGAATTAATAGCACCTCTAACTTAGCGAAATGATTGTGTTTAGCATCCATCAGTGAGGTTCTGATCTTACTCATTTCCAGGAATCACATTACATGATGAAGCAGTCGATTGGGCCGCGGCTGGAGATCACGTTAGTCTCACTTTGACGGGCATGGATATCATCAAAATCAAGTAAGCTAATATCTGACTCAGCTTCAGTTTCAGGATATGGTGACAATGGGTGTAGCCTCTGCCAGTCATGTGGTTTTATTGTTGGACCGATTTGACTGTTACTCGAAATTGTCAATTATTAATGAAACTTGGACTGAAACCACACCTCCAGTAAACAGGAACATAGGGTGTTCTGCCTTTTTTTTTAGCACATCACAGTAGTTGCACAATAAGCATCATGCAGCCTCATCAGTACTGTGCACCATTTTTCACTGCTAGGTCTTTTGACTTGCTTAAGTGGGTTATACATTTGCATAGGTGTGCTATTGTTTTAGGTAAGCTGTCCAAAAAAGGAAATTGGCATGTAGATTGTAGCTCAAAGTTAGCCAAACCTTAACTGTTTCATCTGGTAGTGGGGATTTCAACATTAGTTAGATAATTATATTCCATTTGTGCCATGAACCATAGCAGATACACATTAATGGAAACATAGATGTTGGATTAATTGCTGGTTTAAAAAGGTTTAAAGGAGAACTATGATGTTTAGGCTTATCCCCATAGTCCCTCTTATGGTAACGGGAGGACACAAACTAGCGTCCTCCCGTCACCCTAAGCTCAATATACCGCGAGCTACGGCTGGTGGTATACTGAGACGCCGCAGCTGAAGCGGATCCCGACAATTATGTCTGGATCCGCCCAGCTGCGTGAGTGACAGCTGGCTCTGCCTATGTAGAGGCAGAGCCAGCTGTACCCGCCCCCTCCCCGTCCGATCCACTAGTCAGCGCTGGCGGATCAGAGCGGGGAGGGCGGAATCCAGCCCCTCCCCTGTCACGGCAGAGAGCTGTGACAGGATTGAGAAGTGAGCGAACGCCGGTATGTGTTCCCTCACCTCCCGATCTACTGAGCCGACCTGTGACAGTCTCATTGTCACAGGTCGGCTAGAACTATGAGGTGAGTGAAAAGCACTCACCTCATAGTTCTCCTTTAAGCTCTTCTTTCTCCCATGCTGTAAATGGTGTCATGACATAAGTACAAAACTGCAACCACGCAGGGGTTTTCCTTTACCCAATTATTTTCACTCTACATTTTGTTAATGTCTATTAAAAGATACAGATTGGTATGCCTGCTGTGAGATTTCTGATACCTGTACAAAGTATTATAACAAAACAATCTACCAATAAAATTAGTTGCTAAAAAGCTTTAATACACAGCATCTCATAATGCTTTGTGTGTCCAGAAGTACTGGTGTACAATAAACTATTAAAGGGGTTCTAAACCCTCCTGTTTTTTGCCTATATCTACTGCTATCAAGCAGTAGATATAGGCAAACAGTTTAAAAAAAAAAAAAAACCCGCTAAAACAGCGGTTTAAACTTACCTTTTTTTCTTTGCGCGCTCCCGCCCGAGAAAGTGAAACTGGGCGGCCGCAAAGGATCTTGGGGCGGGCGCATGCGCAGTTCGGATTCTCGGCCGGGAGATGAGCAGAGACGCAAAGTAAATGTATGGACGCGTGCACCCGCATGCAGACACCGCTGGATCGGAGAGACAGAGCAGTCAGCGCTGGATCGGAGTGCCGCTGCACCGCTGGAGGGACAGATGAACACACCAGGAAAGAAGAAGATCGGAATAAGAGACATCATTTAAGGTAAGTGCTAACATTAACATGAAACATGAACATTAAACATGGGGGGGAGGGAAATTTTTTTTGGACTTTAATGTCACTTTAAATCTTGCTGACTGCAGGGGCCACCGTATTTTGCAGTTTAAAATGTTAATGCTAGACGTCTCTAGCCACATGTTTTGTGCTTGTGTGCAGTTTATTATGGATTAATTGGATTATGGGAAAACTTTAATTCTATGAATTGAATTGATTGTACATCTTTGTTCTCCTCTTGTGACTTACAGCAAATCAGATCACATTTAAAAAGCTATTTGGAATTATATTTGGACATACTAAATAATACTCTTTGTTTTTTCTATAGTGTAGGATATGTGTTTTGCAGTCCAAGTGAACCTATTAAAGCCTGCACTCGTTTCCGAGCCAGAGTTCTCATCTTTAACTTTGACGTCCCTATTACCCAAGGTTTCCCTGTAAGTATGCATTTCTCTCCTTGTTTTGCTTTTGGTGCAGATGGAAGTACTAGAGTGTGTAGCATATTTAATTTCCGTATGTAGGAAGAAACTGATAGGACAATTGCTGTGCTAGCTGTTAGTAGCACAAATCTATACATCTGCCAAGTGGTTTGCTTTCTTCAGTTGCAGCACTGGTGTCCTGAGGTTGATTACTGTCTGCATTGAGTTTGTATATTTTTGCTTTGGATGTACTGGTGTCCTCCTACAATCTAAAAACATATACTGGTAGATTAAATAAGAACACCTGACTCAACCAACATAGCTATATACACTATATTGCCAAACATATTGGGAAACCCCTCCAAATTATTGGATTCAGGTGTTCAATCACCTCCATGGCCACAGGTGTATAAAATCAAGCACCTAGGTTCCACAAACATTTGTGAAAGAATGGGTCGCTCTCTGGAGCTTAGTGAATTCAATCGTGGTACCGTGATAGGTTGCCACTTGTGCAATTAGTCCATCCGTGAAATTTCCTTGCTACTAAATATTCCACGGTCATCTGTTAGTGGTATTATAACAAAGTGGAACAACAGCAACTCAGCCACAAAGTGGTAGGCCACGTAAAATGACAGAGCGCATGCTGAAGCACACAGTGCCAAGAAGTTGACAACTGTCTGCAGAGTCAATAGCTACAGACCTCCAAACGTCATGTGGCCTTCAGATTGGCACAACAAACAGTGCGTAGAGAGTTTCCTGGAATGGATTTCCATGGCCGAGCAGCTGCATCCAAGCCTTACATCAACAAGTGCAATGCAAAGCGTCGGATGTAGTGGTGTAAAGCACGACGACACTGGACTCTAGAGAAGTGGAGACGTGTTCTCTGGAGTGACGAATCACGCTTCTCTGTCTGGCAATCCGATGGACGTGTCTGGGTTTGGTGGCTGCCAGGAGAACCGTACTTGCCTGACTGCATTGTGCCAAGTGTAAAGTTTGGTGGAAGGGGGATTATGGTGTGAGGTTGTTTTTCAGGGGTTGGGCTTGACCTCTTATTTCCAGTGAAGGGAACTCCTAAGGCATCAGCATACCATGACATTTTGGACATTTTCATGCTCCCAACTTAATGGGAACAGTTTTGGGATGGCCCCTTCCTGTTCCAACATGACAGTGCACAAAGCAAGGTCCATAAAGACATAGATGAGCGAGTTTGGGGTGGAGGAACTTGACTGGCCTGCACAGTTCTGACCTCAAGCCGATAGAACACTTTTGGGATGAATTAGAGCGGAGACTGCGAGCCAGGCCTTCTCATCCAACATCAGTACCTGACCTCACAAATGTGCATTGTGAATGTGAATAGTCAAACATTCCCATAGACACACTCCTAAACCTTGTGGACGCCTTCCCAGAAGAGTTGAAGCTGTTATAGCTGCCAATGGTGGGCCAACTCAATATTGAACCCTACAGATTAAGACTGGGATTAAAGTTCATGTGTGTGTAAAGGCAGACTTCCCAATACTGTTGGCAATATAGTATATATTTGACTGACCTTGCTTAACATATGTGCAAATTCATTGTAATACATTTTTCAAAAATCTGTTGAGATCTGCCTAAGCATTAATTATGCAAATTAGCTTTCCTGATAAACCCAGTAACCAGAATAATTGGTTACGATTCATGGTTGTTTGAGTAAAATAAATGAAAGACGAGTGCTATGTGAATTCAGAAGCATATTGAATGGTGTTTTTTCCTTTAAGTGCTTCACTCTGTATTTGCTAAATACTCAGACATCACCATCTAGTGGTTCAAATAGAGATTGGTGTATCTAGGAAAGCAAGGGATGCCAGGTTTCATCTATTTTTGTTCAACTAAGAACAGTCTGCAGCAGTATAACTCAAATACAATATGCTTCGTGCCAATACCCTACACTGCAGCAAGCACTAAAGTGATGTATCACCAAATATCCGAAGATAACTTTTTAATACTGTGCTATGCTATGTTTCTACTAATTACAAAGCGCAAAACAACTGCTTAAAGAACTATGGGGTTAGGGCTTCTCCCGTTACCCTAAGGAGAACTATGGGGAAGACACAAACTAGCGTCCTCCCGTCACTAAGCTCAGTATACCGCGAGCTACAGCTCGCGGTTTACTGAGACGCCGCAGCTGAAACGGATCCCGACAATTATGTCTGGATCCGCCCAGCTGCGTTAGTGACAGCTGGCTCTGCCTATCTAGAGGCAGAGCCAGCTGTACCCGCCCCTTCCCCGTGTGTGCTGCCAGTCAGCGCTGGGGGATCAGGGGGGGGAGGGGGGAATCCAGCCCCTCCCCCTGTCACGGCAGAGAGCCGTGACAGGATCGAGAAGTGAGCGAACGCCGGTATGTGTTCGCTCACCTCCCGATCTACTGAGCCAACCTGTGACAGTCTCATTGTCACAGTTCGGCTAGAACTATGAGGTGAGTGAAAAGCACTCACCTCATAGTTCTCCTTTAATAGTGCAAACTAATACCATCCATGGTGAAAATCACAAACTGAATTTCACTGTGCATGGTTTATTTGGGACTGATAATTAAGTAATATGTAAATGAATTCAAGTGATTCACTGTATTAGTTTGCACTATTAAGCGATTGTTTTGCACTTTGTAATTAGTAGAAATATAGCGCGGCACAGTATTAAGTCTCCAGTGAATGTTGTGAATTTTGAACGTTTCTTCATCTGGGGGATTGTTGGTACCATGAAACAGTGGTTTCACACAAAGAGGGGTTGGTATTGCTTCTGAAACTGATTCTACCTTAATCGGTCCCACTTTGTATGTGTCCTAAGTGTGACTCAACTATGGAATTAGATTTAAAGTTGATTTGACGGCAGAGACTATTATGTTTGTTTTGGTTTGCTTTGTAAAGAATTGTGTGAATATTGTCAGTGCTTTAAAAACTAGTAACGTACACTCACTGGCCTCTTTATAAAGTGAACCAGTCCTGTGCATACCTCCAGGGAAGCATTTGCCATTGCACAAATTGGTTAAATTAAGACCAGCATTTCTTTGGTATGGTTGTATTAAAATCTATCTATAAGTTCAAAACAAATTAGTAAACTAAACATGACATTGTAGTCCATCATGGGAGGGAGCTTGCAGTGGTGACTACTTTACACACAAAGGGACCATGGGGAACAAAAGTAGACACCTTCCAGAAGAAAAGGACTTGAATTCAGAGAGGATTTCAGGCTCTACAACTGAGTGATACACAAATAAGATGCATTTTATTTTTAATAGAGGTTTTGGATATAACCATTGACCTCTGAGTTACATCATCTCTGTTGCAATCTCTGGTTTGCCAAAATGTGCTCAAGTTTACCTCCTATTGCTTCAGCTTTTAGCACACTACATCTCACTGCATATGTAGATAGCACTAGAGGGTTTTTTTTTCTCTCAATGCAATATGCTTTATATTTCTTCAATCCAGGTAATCATCCACTACCAAACTGTAAGCGAGCCTGCCACCATCAGGAAGCTGATCAGTGTCTTGCACAAGAGCACAGGGGAGGTGACGAAGAAAAAGCCAAAGTGAGAACTGTTTTGTTTCATTCATGACATATTTAAATATATATATTTTGGATCATGTTTCATGTTACACCCATATTTATGGTGTGACATATAGCATGGCCACATTCCCCAACCCTTACTTACCCGAATTGTGGGGTTCTTCTCCACACAAGACTCTGGGGGTAATTTATCAAAATCTGGAGCAGGTTTGCAATGCAAACAATCAGCTTCTCTGTGTCATTTTCAAATCTTACCTGAGAAAACTGAAGAGAGAAGCTGATTGGTTGCCATGGGCAACTGCTCCAGACTCTGTCTGCTTGTCTGCTCCCAGTTTTGATAAATTCCCCCCACTTTATTCATTTGAATTTAACGTGGCTTTGTGTGGCTCCGAAAAGAAGGGGTCAAAGGGACTCCAGAATGATGATCTATGAGCCTTTATTGACGCATGCTCAGTATCCTGGGGCCATGCAGGGTCCCTTTCATCAGGAAAAAACAGTGATAACATGAGGGCAAACACAGTGAACATAAATACACTAGTGAAGAATACATCAACCAATCAGAAAGCATCTCAACCCTGCTTTGGCCGCGCAGCTACATGATTCATTCATAGATCAATTTACAGGATCTGTGAATGAAGAAACTACAAGTCTCATCTGCCACCTTAGAAGTGGGGCATGTAGATCTCAATGGTGTACGAGTGTGGTGATGTCACCGCACTTGTAGACCATTGATTACTCCTTTTAGTCCCATAACAGAAGGTCTGTACCTCGTTTCGTATGGGGCTGGTTAAATATTCTGCAGGAGCCTCTGCATTGTGCCCATGATTCCCTGATCACCCTTGCAATGCTCTGCAGGCTAAAATTAAAAAATCTATAAATTCACATTTTGTTTTTTTCTTTCATTAGTGTGTGTGGATGTATTTATTTTTTCTAATAGGTGGACTATGCCTTTAACTTTGTATTTAAAATTGCAGTTCACAATTTGAAGCCACCAGCGCAAATTCTGGACTTTTGTGTATGCTAAGTCAACACATTTAGCCTTCTATCAAAATCGAAATCGTCAATTTTTAATCAGGTTATGCGAAAGGAGGTTGACATAGCTTCCGATAATTTTCTTTTCATCTTATCTATCTAGTGATATAGGGCTCAGCTCACAAAGCTAACCCACCAGGATAAGGAGCCTTATTTTTAAAATTTGAGAAAGGGCCAATAGATTTAAAAAAGACAAAAAAAAATCCTTATCCTTCTTTGAAAGCATTATGTGTTGACCTTAATAGTCTGCGGTGGATATGCAGCAAGACAGCAAGAGACGTTGTCCCTTTTTAATCTCCTCTTCTCGAAGCTAAACAGCTGACTGAAGCTATAAATGAATTAAGAACCTTCATACTGTTCAGATTAAAGTAGTACTAATGGCTTGGTGTTTTTACACATCAATGCATTCTCTGCATTAAGGTAGAAAAACACCCAGTACTGGGTTTTTTTTGCCCGTTGGACGGGTTTTTTCTGCCTGTGCCCGCGAGCAGAGAAAAAAATGCTGTCTGGAGACGGCAACCCCCCAATGCAGCTGTGCCGTCTATCTGGTTTTTTTCAACGTGCGGACAGCAACTGGTTAAAGTAAATCTGGCCCCTATAAATAGAAAAAGTAAAAAAAAAAGGTTTAATGTCACTTTCATTAGTTGTTAGTATACAAGGCAGGACCAGAGGCATAGTGATTGCATTTGGCCCTTGTGCTGGATCCAATATGTATAAGAGCATTTGGAGGTGTTATCCTGTTTTTATACTCTGAAATGTCTATATATACATTTAAGACAGCAATATTAGACATGTTTAAAAAGCAAAATAGATCAAATCCGTGAGTGGTCTAGGTTAGGATTCACTCCTGGCATGCTGTGCCTCTAAAATTCAGGAATGCTCAGAACCTAGGATGAAACTCCCCAAGGCATATATGTAGGTGTGGTGATAAACTGATATGCCTCTGCTGTCACTCCTGCTGTGCCAGCTATGACGGGGAGTAGTCATCCTGGCTGATAATGTGGCATGGTTGTAACAAGGGTGAATCGTTGCATGACAATACCAGTGAACCTAATCTCCCTGCATGGAAGCGTATCACCTATCATTGATAATGAGTGATAAATTGGTGATTCTAGTTTAAAGTGATGTATTTGCATCACTTTAAATGCTAGGAGCAGAAGCCCTTCCCTGTTCAGAGGAAATGGCCCCTGCTCTTATGCAACTTCTTAGATCAATACATTCAAGCATCAGGACTTCAGACAACACATGTAGACATGTTGCAGAAAAGGCCTAGGATTCATGCAGCTTGCTGTTGGGGAACCATCCCTTGAATACCCAATGCTGTCATATTACACCCACAAAAAAAGGTGTTACAATGTATTAAAAAAACTTTTTTTTTCTTTCTTGAAAATAATTCATGGACGTACATACAATTCCATTTATCCACTCCTGTGGCAGCACTGAATTATATTTTTATTTTCCAGATGTCTAACAAAAGGAATGAATGCTATAATAGAGCTCCAGACACAGAGACCCGTTGCATTAGAATTATACAAAGACTTCAAAGAACTTGGGAGGTTCATGTTGCGTTACAGTGGGTCATCCATAGCTGCTGGCGTAGTCACTGAGGTAACTCTTTCATCATTTTACAGTGTATAACTTTTGGTGGCTTTTATTTTTTAAAGTTGATCTAAATCCACTGACTTAAATCTCATGAAATTTAAAATAATAAACATGTTAAAAGAAACCATACTTTTTTTTTGGCATTAGTCCCCTTTTGGGTCAAAGGAGTATATTTACTAATGTACTTCCATCACCCAAAGTCAGCATCTAATGGGCTGTTGCCCACTATTTGCAGACAGGAAAGATCCTGACGATATTGTCATGGATCCACCCCACTACCTGATTGACATCTTCTTCTGCCTTTGTACAGCCAAAGCCAGCTGTGCCTGCCCCCTCCCCTGTCTGTTCCTCCAATGAGCTCTGGAGAAACAGAAAGGGAAGGGGGGATTCCCTGTGGGGAGCAGTGACTAACAATTCTCTGCAGGGAGAAGACTGTGAGCTGAGCAATCGGCGGTTTGTGATCTCAATCAATCAATCTGTAGAGCCGGCATATGACACCTGCAGTGTCATACGCCAGCTCTAAGTATTGGGGAGAGTACATTTTACTCTCCCAATACTTCTCCTTTAATGTAGTTCCAAAAGTTTATTTCAATCATTTCGATTCGGCTGCTTACATTAAAATGATACCTGGTTATCCTGTCATTAAGGCCTTTGTTTAGGCACTTCCTGTTATGGGGTGACAACTTGCTCATGCGTTGTTACCCTGCTGCATGTATCCCTGGTGGAGACTAAAAGTGCCAATGTGAAAACACACTGCACATGCATGCTCCATTATTACCACTATCAGGTATCAAGTGCATATAGATGTGAAATGGCTGAAAGAGACTGAAGGAGATAAACAGCACCGAGATACTAATGCCATTTGGAATTAGAGTTAAGATATACTTTAAAGAAGAACTCTTGGCAGAAATGTTATTAACCCTTGCAGAGGGCACTGTTTTTGCCTAGGGTAAAAGAATAAGTTATACCCGATCCTCCAAGGTGGCGGGCTCTTAGACTGATCCCTAGGTTTCTCTCCCCCTGACTCCAGACAGCCCATAAGGCTTGTAGTACTGAGATCTGCTTAGCTCTCTGGCAAACCCTTGGCATAAAGGCGTGCCCCCACTTCTGCAGGTGGGGGCTATATGTGTACCCTTTTAGGGTAGTTTGCTATTCAGGTGCAGAGAACTCCTCTTTAGGCTCACAGGCAAGCTCCTGGCCTCTTAGTCTCCATTCATACCTAGCCTTCAGCTTTTCCGTGTGGAAAATGCATGTTTTTATGCACATTTTTACTTGCATGCTTTGCACGTTTATGTGCGGTTTGCACATTTTTATGCGTGTTGGACGCGCATAGGCAAAGACGCGCATTTTCTTGAGCAGATCAAAATGCATTGCTGTGAATGAGGAAACGTGTGCGCAAACCCACACAAAACGCGCACACAAATGTGCAAACCACTTGTTTCGCACGTTTTAATGCGCTTCCATTGAAGTCTATGCTGCTAAATGGACTGTAATCTGCCAGAAAGAAGCTCATGTACCTTTTCCAGCGTTCAGCAGCTTGCAACAAAACTCTCAGGTGTGAACAGGGGCCATAGAAATGAATGGGATTTCTTGTGTTGAGAGTTTTGTCGCACTTGGCTTTGAACATCAAAACGCCCAGGTGTGAACAGGGACTTACGCTCTACAGTTGCTTCCTTTTTTCTTTTCTGTGCTACTGCACAGGTCAGTGCGCCTGCTCTGGTCCCCTCAGATTTGTCTCACCCTTGTAGCCCTTGCTTCATTCCCTGTGTCAGCATGGCCACCATCCTTTTCCCCAGAAAAGTGCCCTTCCCTCTGGATATTCTGGACTCTCAGTGGTACAGGGTATTCCCCGGTGTCTCTTCAGAGGGATCCTCTGACCTACTAGGCCACCTGAGACTAGCTGTGACTGTCCCTCATCCTGATGGAATTCCACATCCTCGATGTTGCTCACACACAACTGATACCTCTTAGAGCGTGGACTCCTGTGTTTTGTCCTGGTGTGTTTTCCTGGCATCTCCATTGTGGAATACTCAGATGACTGCCTTTTAAGAGTGCTGGTGTTGTGATTCCTGGTGAACAACCTCTCCCCAAATGGCTTAACATCTGCAAAATTCAGTCAGATCTTGCCTTGATAGGTTTCAACATTAACAATTGTCTGTCACCTGTAGGAGATAACGATCATAGTCTCTGTAAAGGTCCACAGCATGTTTACCTTTACACCCCTCATTGTCAGGCAGAAGGTTGCTGCTCTCTCCTCCTTTTATAGGAGCATCAAGCAGTGGTGAACTCTTTGCTCAGAGAACTTTCTCCTTTACCCATCTCTTTCTTGGTCTACTTCAGTCCCCTTTACCACTGTTGTGGTTTCAGTTACTGAGCAGTCTATTGTCTTCATGGACCAGGTAACTCCTTGCGTGTTTACTCAGCCTATACATCAGGTGGCTAGTAAGAAGTTTTCACTTATTCAAAGGCTTTCTTTTTTTTTTCAACGTGGCTGTGGTCTTGTGCCCCAGAAAAGTTGGTTCCTTATACACTGTGTGACCCCACTTTGAGTAGGTCTTCTGGGTTTAGACTCTGTTGGACACCAGGTTTGTACGGCTGTGCCTTCCACACTGAGAAGGAATAGTAGTCCTTCCTACAACAGGACAGGTAGCCTGACTGCCGTGCTAGATGATTCCGTGAGTCTCAGTCTAACTTGCATGTTTTGGTCATGGATGAGAGGCCCATGTCCTTAACTGTACCTCTGGCCCTATGCTGCAGGTGAGGTTCGTCAGAGGAGGGCCTAGCGTATTACTGGTCTGTTGGCGATCGGAAAACTCTGTTCCCCCACCATTGATATCCTCAGACTAGAACAGGAATTGTCTGTACAACTTTGGGGGTAAATGGGGGAGAACCTGTCCACCGGTGGCTAGTTCCAGCCTTTTCACTCAGGTGCTTTGACCGCTTTCCCTTGTTTTGCCTTCTATGTGGCGACTGTTCTTGCTGCATTTCTAAGATTTCTGTTCTTCGCTCCAAAGATGCTGATGCTTCACTGGATCTGGGGGATCAGGAGTTTTCCTAGACCTATAACTTGAGGCTAAGGATAGGCAGGATCAGTCTTCTGCTGTATTACTTTTACAGTAACTCCAGTGTTTTCTCTTGACTCCAGAGAGGTTTGCATTATTTTCATCCTCCGGCCAATTTTTTTCCCCCCATCTCACTAGTTGGGACTTGGGTCTCAATCCCATTTCCCAGCCACCCAGGTGGGAGGTGCTTCCCATGCACCCTATCCCTTCAGACATGTTGATTTCATTGGGTCTAATTCTTGAGTTCCTTGACAGTCCAGCATCACATCATATTCCCTTGAGGCTGTTGTGTTCTAACTGATGCAAGGGTTTTCCCTGGTAAGTCTCGCTTAGTGAGGTTCATTGTCTGGCAAGACAGTTTTTTTTTTAAAACAAAGTTCTTGTCCTGTGACCCTAGGGGTCAGGGGTGTTTGCCTTAGGAACTTCCCTTTTCATCAGGACCTGGTGTTTTCATGAGGACTTGCTTTTGTTTTTTGTTTAGGTTCTCCCATGGGACCTGTTTCTTCCAGAGGCGTGACCCTATTTCTTGTTGACCATATCAGGTTATAAATCTTTACTTCCCTATGTGGGAAAATCGCAGTCATTCCACCTGTTTTAAATAGGTTTTGGTTGATCAGTTTATCACTAAGTTGGTGTTCCCTTCTGTGTGGAGTCATCCCCCACCTTGGTAGTGCCCTTTTCTTCCCGGTCTGAGCTTTAGGTTTATTCACTGTATCCTCCCTCTGGCCGTATTGGTGGATCCCCTATTTGGTAATGGGCTCGGCCTAATTCAGGCAAATTTGGGCATTGGTCCTTTGAGTGGCCTGAGTTTTTTTTGGCCTGTTGGTTGTTTTTGCCCACCCCTTAAGTTGGATTGCTTTTGGACATACCTAAATGCCTGTTCCTCAATGGGCACAAAAATAATTAAATGGGATTTTGTTATTGTTTGTTCTTGTAGTCCATTGTGGGACACAGTGTGTTTATGTTCATGCTTTTGATACTGTACATACATGCTCTTGGTACTGCTTCGTGCAAACTGAGGCATTCTGGATGGAGGATAGGTTATCCTGGAGCTAAATTTTTCTGTTTGCCAGTGTACAATCCTGCAGTAGGCGGCAGTATAACCTTGTTGTACATGACTTCCTGTGTCCCTCAATAGACTCCAATAAAAATCCTTTTTTAAATGTTATTTTATTGCTCTCTATTACTTAAGTAGAAATGAAAACAAGAAGTAAAAGCATCGGTCAAAGACAGGGTGTACACAGTTGCATGTTTAAGACTGAATATTGTAAGTGAGTAGGTTATAGTTGTAACTAGGGAAAAAATTATTGACATGTTGTAGTAGAGAAACATTACCCATATAAACAAAACTTGGTTGCAAGGTTCTCTAGCATTATTTGAATGTGTTCAAGTGGCAAATAGTTTTTTTGTTGTAAGTTGAATAGTGAAAAATGATAAAATCTGTATTTGACAAACCTGTGGTTGATTGTTTGTTTCATATTTCTTTTCCACAGATTAAAGAATGACACCAGAGTCTCACTGAGGGGACTTTACCAACTGATTGCCCTCAGCATGGAGAGTTCTCTACCCAAACTGCCTGGCTAAAGACATGAAGTGCAATTAAAGGACAAAACCGTACACAAATCTAGCGGGGACTCGCCTGCAGACTGCTTCCCACCACCTCCATCTAACAGAACAAAGAATTAGGACCTCAGTCTGTGATCTTTTTTACATGGTTCAACCTGTGATTAAAATGCTTCTTAACGTCTGTCTACCGTCCTCAATCTGTCATGAATGCAGCAGCTTTTCTCATGCAAGATTAATTTATATTAATAACAATATTTCACTTATCTTGATATTCTCTTCTGATCCTAGCAGACATGTTTACAGTTCTCTTCTGAAATGTCTGCAATTATTTTTTTTTTCTTAATGATAAATTAGGTTAATATATTTAGTGCTACATATACATTGCTTATATGAAGCAGAACAAAACAGAAGGACTTTTTTTTGAAGTTTTAGAGCATGGCTGAACATTGAGAAGATCTGAACCTCCCATGAGACGATTCTTTGCTGTGTGTATGAAGATTTGCTGTGAGGGATGTGCCAATTTTATTCAATCATGAAAATGTATCTAAAATAGAGAAAATTAAAAAGCTTTGGTTTGAGCATGCACATATTGTTTGCTTGTTCTTTGTATTTCAGTGATTGCAGAATGCATCAAAACTTCTTTAGTTAATATTAAAACAACTCCAATAATGCATTTGTGAACTCAGTTAAACCGTCAAACATATTTTAATTGCAATTAGCATAAGTACCTGCATATTTTTTTTATCTTTCTGTAATCACCTATGAAACAGGACTCAGAGAGGGAGGGGGGTAGCATTAGGAACCATTGAATGCTGTACTGCCTTGGACAGTGCTGTCTAACACTTTTTACAGGATAGGAAAGCAAAGGGATGGCTCATCAATGTACTGCAGCTTCTTCATCCAGTCAGCAGGCTCTTGGTGTGTCCTAGACTGGCCTGTACTGTTTAACTAAAGAGCAGTTCCAGAATCTGTCTTTGCTGTTTAGGTAGGGGTGTCAAGATTGCAAGACTGACTAAACAGGATTATATTTCTTTTGGCAGGAAAAACATCACATATATGTATTTCAATAATGTATAAATTGTTTGCCTGGAGGTCAGCTTTAAAGGAGAACTATGGGGGTCAGTGTTTTTCCCCATAGTTCTCCTTAGGGTAACGGGAGGACACAAACTAGCGTCCTCCTGGTATACTGAGACGCCGCAGCCGGAGCGGATCCCGACCTGGACGTCGGGATCCGCCCAGCTGCGTGAGTGACAGCTGGCTCTGCCTATCTAGAGGCATAGCCAGCTGTACCCGCCCCCTCCCCCGTCCGTTCTGCCAGTCAGTGCTGGAGGATCGGAGAGGGGAATCCAGCCCCTCCCCCCTGTCACGGCAGAGAGCCGTGACAGGATCGAGAGGTGAGCGAACCCGGTATGTGTTCGCTCACCTCCCGATCTACTGAGCCAACCTGTGACAGTCTCATTGTCACAGGTTGGCTAGAACTATGAGGTGAGTGGAAATCACTCATGTCATAGTTCTCCTTTAAGGAAAACTAGTCATGAGGCAAACATGGAAGCTGCAGTTGCTGACCTCTACTTATGAAAATGCTAGTTGCTTGTCTGCTTTGCTTGCCCTCTTTCTGGCTTTGGTGATCTGACCTGCAGTAACAATGTAGGTTATGACTTTTCATGGACTTTTCTTATCTACATGCTCATTTCATTTCAATAATCTAGAAAGTATTGAAGCCAGTTGGTTAGGATACCAGCTAAGCACCACGCAGTTTAGAAGGTGTAAACATTTGCAGTGCCTGTTCTTCTCTCATGACAGGTTTACTTTAGTATCCTTATTTTTACACGTACATTTGTTACTACCTGTTAACATCAAAGTTAAAGATGAAACTACCAAGTTTATTGTCTGTCTGGTATCTGTAGATTACATAGTGTGTAGGAACAAAAAGATACATTATGGAATATATCGTTAGTTTAATGATAAAGCATTCACATTATTTTGATATACTCCACAGAATGTTTTACACAAGTGTTGTAAAAATGTATATGTATCTATTGTTTACCACCAACCTGCTGCATTTTGATTAAAGTTGTTGGCCCCATAGACGTCCTGGGCATTGAAAATGCTATGCAGCATCCATAGTTTGAAGCAGCTATGTGTCTAATGGAGCTATGGCAACATCGGCAATCCAGCTGTTGTGGAGCTACACATCCCCTGAGGCATTGATGAGGGCATGACTCTAAGGCAGAGACATGAGGAAATTTGTAGTTTTGGCACATCTGGAGTGCAGAGGTTGTCTACTTCTAAGCTATGGCAATAAGTGTAATTTACACTTACCTAACTCACATCTATAAGAATATATTTAATGGATTTCTTCTTTAAGCTTAGGCTTCTACAGGATGAAAGGCTGTACCTTGTTTTGGTGTACAGCATATACATATATTGTACACCTGCTGCTTTTATATAGGATATTTAGAACTGTGTGGCCGATGCAGGGACATTTCAAAGTCTGGCCCTATACATTTTCAGTGGCTATAGTTTTGAGTTGTGAGAAAGTTATTGAGGGATGCATAGGCATTTTGAAGTATCTTTTTACTGTGTAAAACAATGTGTTCATAATTTTACTTCTGGTCTTTTTTCTAGCATGACCCTTATCGCTGGTGTTCACATTTTTTTTTCTTCATGTGCTGAGACTGCAGTTACAAATACTTTGTCCAAGTTGTATATTTGCATTGGGAGGAGTTAATGAATGTGCAGTCCAAACTCCAATCTAGTCTGCCTGTTTTTAGAACTTTGCTAACACAATGCTGCTTTTTCCTGCTAACATGGAAAAACAAAACACTCTTTTAGAGCTGCAGAATTATATTGGTGGGAAATTTGTCCCAAGCAGATCCTACATCGATTCTTTTGATCCTTCTACAGGCAATATCTTCTGTAGAGTGCCTGACAGTGGCAATGAAGAGGTGAGATCTAGGATCTTGTGTGTACGTGTGTGTGTGTTTTTTTTTGTCTGAAAATGCCTACCCCCTTCATATGGGAGCGATTTGATTTGTAACTGTTCCTCTATGCCAGCCTATTACCCAATTCTCTATGAAGTAACAGGAGTCTTTTCTGACAGGGTCTGTTATATTAAGCTGTATAAACAATATCAGCCTTATTTAAAGTGACACTAAACTCAGGAGTTAAATCTTAAAAATACATTCAAGTACCTATAACAAAAATGTAACTTATTTGTGTATCATTCAGCTGTAGATCTTCAAATCGTCTCTGAATTGGTGCTGACACTGTCCTTCCTTCTGGAGGGGGCTACTTTTGTTCCCCATGGTCCCTGTGTGTGTTGTAAAGTAGCCACCGCTCCAAGCTCACTCCTGTGATGGACTACAGTCTCATGTTTAGTTTACTAATTTGTATTGTGATTGTAGTTCATCACGGGAGCAAGCTTGGAGCGGTGACTACTTTACAACACACACAGGGACCATGAGGAACAAATGTAGCCACCCTCCAGAAGGTAGGACAGTGTCAGTACCAATTCGGAGATGATTTGAGGATCTACAGCTGAGTGATACACAAATAACATACATTTTTGTTAATAGGGTACTTGAATTAATTTTTTACATTTAACTCCTGAGTTTAGTGTCACTTTAATAAAAATTGTGATTGGCTACTAGGGGTTACTAAACTTAATAGGGATTCTTTATTAAATTGGTGTACCTATTAAGTATATGTTATAAAATATTTATGATTTTATAATTTACACATGAGAATACCCAAATAGCTCCTGTGCGCATAATTTACAACATTTGTATGCGTTGTATGTATGAATGTTTAAATATAAACAAAGTTGTTGGAAACATATCTCATAGTCTTTTGCTAAAGCAAGGACTTTATGGATGACACATTCCTTTCTTTGCTACATTTGTATCTATGGCCTTTGGTTACAATTTCTGAGTGTTTTTTTTTGGATCTGCCACAGTATGTCTGTGTCAATAATGGTTATATTTATTTTAGGACAATGGTGGAGCGCCAGTGCCAGCTGCAAACGCTGCACCCCTGGTAGTTCTGCCAATGACTCCAAGCTGTAGAGGGAGTACAAATCTCAGCAATACATTATACAACAATGCAGAATACCACCAACCATAGAGGACTACAGATCCCAGCAATACATGTAATGCAGAATAATATGAAGCTAGATACTCTGTGTTGTTTACCAGGGCTGTGCACGGTCTTCTGAGTGCTGTTGGGTCTCCCACAGGCTGAGGGTTTCTGGAGTAATTAAGGCCTTGTCTCTTACCCTGAGACCTTGTCTCTGCTCTGAGACTGCAACATGTATGATTTTATTCACAAGGGAACAGTCCTGCTCTACCAGGTGCCCCCTCTGATTTTGAGTTGCCTAAATTCTTGACTGATGAGCTTACCCTTCAGGAGTTGCAGTCCACTGCTATTACACCCAAGATTAGGGAGACCATTTTGGTTCTCTTTGATGCAGTGTGCACTACTCTGAAGGGTCATCTTGGGTGTTATAGGGCCCCTAATGCTGCCAAGACTTTACCTATCCACTTTATACCAACTGTCTTTGGAGATTGGAAGTGCCCTAATAAATTGTTTGCACCACATAAAAAAAGCTGGATTTGTATTTTAGCCAGGAATTTGTTCAGAAGTGCTCTGTTTCCACTATGGATCTGACTGTGTTGTCTCAACAAGGCGACTACCATACCTGTGGAGGATGCATTTTCCATTAATGACCCAACTGATGAGCGGCTGGTTGTCCTTTTCAGATCCCTATGCCTGCAGGTCCCACCTGAACCTGATCTGGCTGTGGCTTTATTTTCCCATAGCCACATAAAGGATCTAACCACCACTCCTGTTGATCACTTGCTAGAAGATCTTATTTCTCGCATGTGAATTCTGTTGTCGCATACGCGTAGCGCACTTTGGCTAAAGTGCTAGACTGTGGAACTCTATTGTAAAATGCTTGTGACATGGTTTCTTTCTTCCCCAATGCAAGAATACTAAGGAACAGACTGCGAAGTTGTGTCCCTCTCAGGCTTGTCAAGAAGCATCCCTTTAGTCCCCCCCCCCCAGCTTGGTTCCCAGCCCACCTGCAATATTTGGTATTCCAAGTATGGTTAATCCTCAGACAAGCCTTCCTCCGCATGAAGATGCGCAACCATTTTCTG